CGCTCCGGGCTCGCGGGGCGGATGCCCTGCTCCACGTTGATGATAGATTTCGGGAAGGGCGCTGCCCCTGTGCCCTTCTGCTTCGCTCGGATTGGGGCGCCTGCCGCCTTTTGGACGGATACCGGAGTTTGGGGTTGGGACAGCCTCAGAGTCCCGGCACGCGGCGCATTCCAGGCTCTCCATCCCGCTCTGCCTCGGTCCTGTCATTTCGGTGCTGGAAGTCTTGCGGCAGCCGGGCGGGGAGGGCGCCGGCGAGGCCACAGTCTTTGGCTCTGAAAGTGTCGGAGGATCTGCCTCGGCCAACTGGGACCCCCACAGCCTCCTCGTCTCGGTGCAGGAAGCGGAACTGTTCTCCTGCCTCAGATTGGTGGGGGCGGGGGGAGGGTGCGATGGGTAGAGATCTTCATTCTCCGATGGCGAGGACTATTACAGTAACAGTGGTACTATGTTCAGTACTCCGAGGGTTGCATAAACCCAGCCAGCTTTAGCCTTAGCCCCTTGCGTTGTTGGGATCTCTGAGGCTACGTGTTTGCTGAACCAGGATCAGTCTTGCAGTCGCCCAGCCGGTCTCAAATAGCCTTAACTTACGAATAACCGCTTCCAAAAAGGCGGTTCCTAAATAGTCCTCAGAAGGAATAGAAAACGATCTTTCTGGAAAGGCCATCGGCCTACAGGGTAGCTGCTTCTATGCAGAGTGGCGTTATTCAAAAAGCAGTTTCATCATTTGGAGTTTGTATCCCTGGAGCGCCATTCCTGGAGGTAACGCTGGGGCCCATGTAAATAAACGCTACAAAAGCAGCGCAGTTGCACGGTTTTTCCTGTAGTTTTCTCTCTGAGCAAAGCCGGGTTATTAGCAAGCGGGGCTGGCTGTGATGAACAGCCCCTCTTCTGTGCTTCCAAGCGCAATCCCACCTGAGTTCCTCAAAACCCGCTGCCTGGAGAATCACTTGGTGATGCTTTCTCAGTAGGAGATGAGGTATTGGAAGGGCCTGTAAGTGGTCACATGGCATGTGTCCAACCAGATGTCACCAAGCGCAGCAGGAAGCAGCTGAGGCAGGGTAGGGGCCGTGTTGTACCCATGTGCTTTCAGATAGCTGTTCTACAGCCTGCATTATGGTGTCACCCCATTATGATGAGAAACCCACAATGACCTGTTGAGGGGACCGAGAGAAACGTTGCTATTTCCAATTGTCTAGAGTCCCTAGTCTTAAATTGCCTGTCACCTTCCGTCTGGCCTCTCACCCAGTTATATCTGAATTAGGTTGATGGCATGTATTAATGAGATTCTTAGCTTCAAAATCCAAATAACCCTCTTTATGTTTGTCCCTCTAATACATACAGATACATTTTCATGGATTTATTGCTAATTGCCCTGTGGAAAAGTATTACTTCCATTTCATCCTCCTTTTCTCCTGCTACTTAATTGCATTTATTGTCCATTTCATCTTATATGCGAAACTGTGTATTTGGACAACAAAAAGAAAAATACTTCCACCAGTTTCTAGATCGGGTGCGATTTAAGTCCTGCATTTTAAGACTGAAGGCAACTACTGAACAGTATTCACAAGTTTTGCTTAATCTCTGCCACAGGTGATGTCCACTTTTGGTTTTGTTTATAGCAACAGGTAAATAAGGCTATTTTAACTTGGTTCTGAAACCTTCTTGATGTTGGCTCCAGCAAACATTCTTTACCTTCAGGAAACATTACCTTGTAATGTGATTGGATCTGTCACATAGGGTGTGACATCCTTTCCCATTGATTTTCGTAGGTATTATAAGGAAAGAACAACTTGGCCACAAATGAAACTGACAGTGTTTACTGCTGGGTGGTAGCAGTTAGAGCCACTTAAAAATAGTGCCTTTTCGTGGTTAGTTCAAGTTAATTGACCCCCTGGGGGTTCCTGGGTACTCTCCCCAGTGGTGAGACCGGCCTTTGGTGATGGACACATTGGTTTTTGTTTCTCAGCATTTCCCATAAAGAAAACCAGTGAGTTTCCCTCTGCCCTGTCTACTTACAGGCGATGTCCTGATGTATCATGATAAAGCTCTAAAGATTTTAGATGCTTGGAGCATGTGACTTGAAAGTGATCGATTGCAGACAGTACCGGAGAAAGTTGTTTGCAGTGGGTTCCTGTATTTCCTGATCCATCAATATGGGCTGTGCAAGTCGAATGGTGATCTCTGGTTATTTCTTTGCTCTCTCTACATACAGTGTTGATGTACCGGGCTGAGGCTCTGGAAGACTTTACCGGCCCAGATTGCCGTTTTGTGAATTTTAAAAAAGGAGACCATGTCCATGTCTACTATAAACTGGCGGGGACCTCGCCGGAAGTTTGGGCTGGAACTGTAAGTAAAAATTTGACATCGTTTCTGTTCTTTTCCTTTTTCATCACCAAAAGAGATTTATTCAGGAAAAAGAAAAGGATTGCAACTTAGAACCTACAGTCTTGGTGAGCCACGTGCAAATTCTGCCAGGAAGAAGATGGGGAAATGACATGCTTTCTTTTCTGAGGTTGTATGGGCTCGTTTAGCAATGTGAATTTAAGTAACTGTTTCCTTGGGGTCCTGGATGGCGTTTCCCTGTCCTCCGCTGTGTGTCCCCAGCAGGCAGCAGGCTTGGCACAGAGTAGGGGCTCGGCAGAGATTTCCTAAATAGAACTGAACTGCTTCCAGCGACTGCTCCTCAGCATCACGTTCTAGGCCTTCTCGGCCATGCGTGCTCCATACACAGCAAAGGTGGAAATGGCGCAGCCTGAAATTCCGTAGCTTTAAAACGAAAGGACTCATGGGTTTGAGACTTATTCCTGTAAGCTATGTGCGAGATAGGGTTTCGGGCATTCCCGAGGAAAGCTGGTCTTGTGTGCATTTCTTTTTTACTAAATTATGAATATTTGAAAGACTGGCAGCTCTGGGAACAGTTACCTAATCATGTGTGCTGTTCTTAGTCTGTTGAAAAACCAAAATGTCATTGTCACCGTGTGCCTTCTTGTTTGGTTTATTGGCAACTTCTGGGTCATCCTCTTCCTGCTTTTTGACACTTGTTGCCAGTAGTCCCCCCAACAGCTCCATTCCACCCAGTTCCGTGGTTGTCCTGATAACAGACATGGTAGTCAGTGAGTGCATCATGCTGTGATGTTTTGAATGAAGAGATTCCCTGGGAGTGAGCTGATTGGGAGGCTTATGAGTTATTGTCCTTCTTAAAAAGTGTGATGTGTGGACTCTGTATTTATTGAAAGTAGCAACAGTCCTGGATGTCCTTGGGGTTGTCCAAACTTCGAGAAATATCCAGTCCCAACTGTGAAAGCTTTCGATCTCAATAAAACACCAAACAAACAACAGAAAATAAGGCTTGAGAATCCTCCATCGGGAAAAGCAGGTTGATTTTGTCGGTGTTCCCAATTCCCAGGGAGGAACCTTCAAAGGCCACTAGGCAGGGACAGTCCTTGCATTTAGGCAGAATCCCAGTTGGATCATTTGCGACAAAGAAGAATCTATTGTTTCTTTCAAGTCTAGCACATGGGATTTCTTAGTAATCTTTATTCTGGGAGGGTTTTTTCCATGTCCCTACGCTGCATTTTTAATCTGGTGGTCAAGTGTGAGCCTTTGGATAAGTGACCTCAACTTGCATTTTTCTACCTTCACACTCTTGTTCACCACCTGACTCGCGTCTAGGAAGCCTGCCTTCTTTCTGGGCCCAACTCTCATCCTGCCTTTTGTGGGAAACACTGCCCTCTGCACCCGGCCAGCAGGGTCTTTGCCGTCTGCTAATTGTTTTGGGGACACTGTTTGCACTGCTTGTGGGACCGCTTTTTCTGCTTTGCATTGCAGTTAGTGTGTGTACTGTCTTAGCTCGTATGAAATCAAAAGCTCTGAAATGGAAGGGCCCATCTTCCTTTTGAATATTTCCTTTCAGGGCGGTGGCATTGACATTTGTCCGCATAGTAGCTATGCAGAATTTGTTCTCTTGAAAAAATATTTTGCTTCCTCCCTCCCCCCCCTCCCCCAACCTCCAAATCAAATCAGTAGCAGTTCCCTGGCAGGGATGATAGTTGGAAGCCAATTAGATATAAAAATTATTTCTAGTTATGAGGGCCCATGATTCTGCAACACATTGGGGAGGGGTCAGGTCATAAGAAAGGGGACCTCACCCAGTATAAAAATAAAGTTTTATATAGCAAAGATGACACAAAGATAAATGTATTTCCTTTCTCTACAGATCTGATTTTTTCCCCTTTTCCACATTCTCTCTAAATAAAATTTTCCTGAGGAGAAAAGGATCTTTTCCCTCACTTTCCTCTCTCATTTTGTGGCCCTTACACTTTATGAAATTAAAACTATCTCTCCATGGCTTTCAAATTATTCTTCTTTCTATTTCTTAGTTTTCATCCTACCGTCTTTTTTGGTTTCTTAGAATTTCAGCCTTCAACTGCCAATGTGGCAGTTTTTAATTGCCCTGGCTTATCTAATCTCCAAGGCACTGCTCTACCACCAACACCGGCTCTCAGGTAGTTGCCAGATAAAACAAGAGCACTCATAATGAGGATATTTTAGGAGTTAGCGATAAGATAGCCTTTTGTTTTCTTTTTGTGCATTTGATCCTTCTATCAGTCTCCTTCTGGGATGACTGGGAAGAGATCTAACACTCTCTTTCAGACTGCAGCTAGTAACAGGCAGTGTATGTTTCCCAAGAGGACATGCTTCCTAGTATAACCTTAGCTGCTAGTGCTGTAGATAAGTGGGATCATCTTCTACAGAGGTTTACTCTGCATAAAACTAAAGCTGATGTGTAGATTAGTATGAATTTTATGTTCTCCCCAAATACTTGGAAAATCTAGCTTTTTGAAAAAGCTAGTACAACCCATAAATATCAAATATTTGTTCGCCTTTTGTTGTGTTGATCAATACATTTCAGAAATTTTATATTTTTTACTTATTAATTTTTATGACTGGTGTTTATTGGATTAACCCCTTCCCCAACAATTTTTTTGTTAAAAACGTTTCTTTTTCAGACTAATTTTTTTATTTTGGTTCTATATAGTATTTTTGATGCTGGTTATGAAAACAGTTTGTAACTCGTCTTCCTATAAACCATATTTTTTTACCATATTTTCTTAGTATACTCGTCGACGACTGAAAAAGAACATTTTGTGAAAACGTGTATACACGTTTCTGCCGGGGAAGGGGTTAAGAGAGACATAGTATTGGTTTGTGAGCAGTGCTATGAAACGTACAGGTAAATTCTTGCTAGAGGTTATAAGGAATTGTGTTTCCAATCAGCTTTGATTTGCATAGTTTTAATCACATAATATACAACAATCTTTTCTTGTGCAGATCTTTTATCTACTTCAAAACCTAACTTTATGTGCCCTGTGTTTAGCATTAAGCTGAGTATTGAAAGAAAACATAAGTGGTTTTGGAAAAGTTGGCTTTGCAATATTATATACTTAATTTTAACTGGATTAAAAATCTCTAATCATAGTGACTGTGTATTTCTGTGGTTATATCTGCCTGTCCATTTGTATATTTCCTCTCATTTACATGTCTCTCATTTATATTTCTTGTACAGAATTTTGATTGATAGCTTTTCTTTTGCCCATTCTTTTTACATAGGTTGGACGTATTTTTGGATATTTTCCAAAGGATTTACTTCAGGTAGTCCATAAATACACGAAAGAAGAGCTACAAATTCCAGCAGATGTAAGTTGTGGATTTTTTTTTTGGGGGGGGGGTGGGATTCTCCATTATATAGGGTGTCCCAAAAGTCACGCAAGATTTGCAATTGAATTGAATTGCAAATCTTGCATGAATTTTGGGACACACTATATTTGGCTTACAATTTCATCAGTTGTTAACTACATTAAGTACTCACTTAATGTCCTCTATGGGTTCTTTGACTTTAAGCAAAATGACATAAAACAAAGCCCGTTTTATCATAGGCTAATTGATATAAGCAAGAGTTACGTTTCTTTGGCATCTCACAACATGATAATGAAATGACACTGAACAAGATGTTATTCAAGGACCTGCTGTATTTTTTAAAGTCTTTGAATGTGTATTGGGGGGAAAAAAAGAAAGTTAATGTTTGTGTTTCAGATTTTAATTTAGAATCAGGTTTCCTTTAAAAATAGAAAAAAAAGAAAAATTTGAAAAGAATATCTGGGAGACTTATAATCTGATAGTTATCTTCATTGAAGCACATCTTATACAGGCTGTGTACTCTCATACAGGGTTTTTCTTTGTTATTTTATTTGAAAAAAAGTTAAGAATTCAGTTTCTTTGCATTTAGTTATTAAAATGAGATAATTCTTTTTATAAGCAAAAGGAATAGCTATTAGATGGTTTACGTAGATAGAAATCAGGTTAAATTGATCAAACCCTAATTTATGTACTAGGTCAGAAATGCAGATTTACAGGGATTTTCTTATCATTGACCTGTCAGTGATTTAAGGGATTATAGTTGTATTTTAGATTTGGAAAAGGGAACGTGCAAGTTTCAGATGCAGTCCTGTCACAAGTCGACATGGTACCGATGGCACCATTCTATAAATCACTCCTCTAGGGAGCACTGACTTAAAATAGCTTTGTCAAGACAGGGATTTTGTGTTCTGAGATCCCCATTCTGCTGATTATTTCTGCAGTTTTAAAATGTATAATAATTGATGCCCACCTTCAGGCAGAAGTCTTTGAGCAGCTCTTTGGAGTTGCTGCTGCTGGCCCAACAGCAGCTCTCAGATGAGAGTGGCAGAGTGGGTGACGTTTTAGAGCCATCGCTATTCTTAAAAACTCCTGATGATCCCACGGGTCATAAAATCAGCCTTGTTGCCTGTTTGGCCTCACTCCAAATGAAGAGACTTCAGGGTAAGTGGGAGACAGCAGTTCCTTGGTCACGGGGACCTCACTTGTTTGGGAATCTGCCTTCTTGCACCAACCTTTGCATGCTTCCCTCAGTTAGGCAAATGGCTTAGAAATGCATGCGATGAAAAAAGGAAATATAATTTATCCTCACCATATTGGTCAGGCCTCCCCAGAGTGATGTGAAAGTTTAGTTAGGAGAAGAAAATTATCTTTGTTGATTTTTTTAACTTTTCCCTTTGTGGCCCCTTTAATGTCCATAGGGTTTTTAAGGGAGGAAAGGAAGAATATAGGATTACTGAGAGTCCTGAAAGCAGATTTTAATGACACCAAGAATCCTGATTTAGAGTATATCCCTTACTTGTTTTCAAGTTATCCTTGAGGTAATAATTAGGTGGGAACCCCCTCGACACCGTTCTCTGTTCCTTTACATTTTTACTTCCTGTGCACCTGTATTTCAATAAGATACGTCTTGAGCTGATTTATCTTACCCAATCTAAGGAAAATAAGAGCCAAAATCCGTGTAGACTCAGCCAACCGACAGCAAGGGGATTCTGCCAGGTTCTGGCTGGGTCAGCAGAGAGGGTCAGCTTGGAAAGCCAGATGCAGAGAAGCTAGACACATTATTACGTGGTGAATTCCCAGGACATCAGGTATCAATGTTGGAAGTTGGGGGACCCAATCACTGACACCTCACTTTTCACCTTTTGTGCTCAGAACACATTGAGAGACCCAGGAGTCAGGCAGACGGAGGCTAAATTGTCATCATTATTTATTGCTGGAGCTTTTTGGCAAACATGCCTCCAGTATGCAGAAATAAGGGGCTTTCGAACATTGCAGTTTAGAATAAGACAGGCTAACGCAGCCAGAGGCAGAGCTCAGGAAGGGGTAGGGGGTGGTGGGTTGGTTATTCCCAGGGGAGATGTCCCTCTAACTGACAGCTCAGAAGAGGGAGGATGCGTGCTCCTTCCAGCTGGTCCCAAACAGAAAACAGGGATGGTGCAGGACAAACTCACCACCTGCCTGAGTCATCCCTTCCCTGGGGAAGAGAGAGTGAAGGGAAGCCCGTAGTATTATTCATGTGAAAGTATTTCCTTGGGGAAGCAGAAAGCCAGGGAAAAGTGGGTTCCGGCCTCCTGTCTCCCAGCTACCGAGGAACAGTCATTGCCCGAGGCTGGTACAAAAGCCCCCTAAGCCAAACATGACCTTGAGGCTATCTCTGTCATTGGCAAGGCTGAGAGTTTGCTCTTGTGACACACGGCTACAGACACACTAATGTTTTCCTTTCCCTTCCAGGAGACAGATTTTGTTTGCTTTGATGGGGGAAGAGACACTTTTGATAACTACAATGTAGAAGAACTTCTAGGATTTTTGGATTTGCACAATCCTGCAACTAGAGATTCTGAGAAAGCTCTAGAGAAAACCTCTCAGCCTGTGGAAGAGCCTCCTGAAGTACCTGAAGAAAGTGACCCTGAACCTGACTCAGTACAAGCTACCTCAGAAGAAAGAGAAAGTGTTTTCTCAGAAAGCACCAAGGAACTCCAGGACCGTCCTGAGGCTCCGAAGAACCACCCCCCTGTGAACAGTCCAAGAAATCACCCTCAGGGAGAACAATCCTCATTGGAACCGCTGGAAGAAATGCTTCGAGATAACTTAAACGCGTCAGCCAGCGAAAACAACTCAGCCAGCAATAGCTCTCAGCTCTCCAGTGAGCAGAAGACGGATGCTTATAAACTTTTGAAAAAAGAAATGACCGTGGACTTGAAAACCAAATTTGGCTCAACTGCTGATGTACTTGTGTCTGATGACGAGACAACCAGGCTCGTTACTTCCTTAGAAGACGATTTTGATGAGGAATTAGATGCTGAGTACTACGTAGTTGGGAAGGACGAAGAGGAAGAGGATGAAGAAGACTTTGATGAGTTGCCATTACTAACCTTCACAGATGGAGAGGATTTGAGAATGCCAGTGGAATCTGAAGTTGAGAAATATTCAACCGATAAAGAGCAGAATTCAAGTGAAGAGGATGAGGGGGAGGTAACTCAGCCCCTTGGCATCAAAAAGGGCGATAAAAGTATGCTAACATCTTTGGAGGATACTGTCTTCTCTGCTGTCACAGAGGGTGCAGAGCAAACAGGTATGGATTTTGAGAGTTCTGATTCAGAGGGAGAAGAGGAAGGTGAGGATGGATTAATCCCAGACAGCAAATGGGGGAAACCACAATCAGCAGCAGATGATAATGACCCTGAAAAGGCAGAAGATGTAGTTCCTAAAACAAATAATGACAAAAACCCAGTAATGGACACAGAACTTCATATTAAAGGAAAGGGGAGGACAGTTGAGGAGTCCAACAGGGACCTGGTGGAAGGTAAGAAAGGATTGGAGGATGGAAAGAAAGAAGACAGGACTCTGCCTGGTTCTATGCAAAGCAGTAACCTCAACTCTTTGCCAGCTACTGAAAAGGGTAAAGAAATATTAAAATCAGCCTTTCATAACAAAGAAAATGACCTAAAAGGAGCAGCTGTTCATATCTCAAAAGGAATGGCCCGTGAAGAGAAGCCTGGAGAACAGATTTCGGAAGGTGGCTCAGTGAATGCATGGAAACATAGAGCTGCAGGGAATGAAATGAAGGAAGAAAAGATTAAACAGGAAGCCATGGATGGTACACGGCTCCTGGGAGATAATGAGCATAATGCATCCAGAGACAGTGTGGAGAAGGGAATAGATGTTTCCGGAAATGGACCAGAACAACACATGCCCGCAGCGGAGCATCCAAGTGAGGAATTTAAAGAGGAACAGCTTCTTAAAACTCAAAATCAACCTAGGTTCTCCTCTCCCGATGAAATTGGTTTGTCAGCAGAACTGGAAGATGAGGGTTCCATTCTGGGAAGAAACCTGTCCGGGCAGCCGGGAGGAGATGTGGCTGCTGCAGTTAATACGGAAGTGAAGGGGAAGACAAGGCTGAATGAGGAAGAGGTCACAGGTGACACCTTCAGTGAAGAGCTTGTTCATCCACAGCCAGGCACTCCGGAAGCGGCAGCAGCAGGCCAGACTGATAGCGCAGAAGTACCAGGTTTCCATCCTGAACAACCAGAGGCAGAGGAGGAAGATTCCAGCGCTGAAGAACTGCTGGAGGACGAAAATGCTGTAAGTGCAAAACAGTCTAAAGAAAAAGGCCCTGGGATGCAGGACAGGCAGTTAGATGTTAATCCACAAGTCTCTGGAAGTGGAATTTTCGACGCCATAAATACTAACGTAGACACTGAAGAAAACAAAGAAAACACTAGTAATATTTTGGAAACTGAAAGCAAAAATGAAACTGAGGGCAGAGGGGTAGGCACGCTAGGCAAGGAACCTGGTGGCCCGGAGGTAGAAACAGAAGAAAGCCCTCCTGCAGGTAAGAAAGCACAGGGACCATCTGAAGGGAGTGACTTTCCTGACAAGAGAAAATACCAGACTCCGGAGTCAGGTGAAGTACTTCGGAGTCAAGACCCTGGTTATCTTAAAGAAGACCACCCTAAGGAACACCCAAAGACCTCGGGGTTCGCAGAGAAGCCTGGGGGAGAGCTCTCGAAAGCGGGCCAGGAGGACACAGAGAGGTCCATGGACACACAGAGCCAGGGGGCTGCTGCTGAGGCACGTGAAGGCGACGTCCCCGGGGCTGCACACACAACCGCAGAGCACAGCCCCCACAGGGAGGACCTGCCTATCATCAGCAGCTTCTTTAAGGAGCAGCAGTCCCTGCAGCGGTTCCAGCAGTACTTTGATGTCCACGAGCTGGAGGCCATGCTCCAAGAAATGTCGCGAAAGCTGAAGTCGGCACAGCGGGACAGCCTTCCCTACAATGTGGAGAAAGTCCTGGATAAGGTCTTCCGGGCGTCTGAGTCACAGATTTTGAACGTAGCAGAGAAAATGCTCGATGCTCTTGTGACCGAATGGAGAGATTCGGGAATGAAAGAGCGTAACATTCTCGAAGAGGCTGCAGTGCTAGACGATGTTCAGGACCTGATCTATTTTGTCAGGTACACACACTCCACAGGGGAGGAGACTGGACCACTGGCAACGACACAGCCTCCAGAGGGAGGCTGGGGGGGACCAGCAGAAGGTAAGTATCCGCCTGTGGCCTTGTCCAGTTGGGTTGGGGGTTCGCTGAAGGGCCTTAGACCTTATTTGTAAAGCCCTGTCCACCGCTGACAGCATGTCTAAAGGCAAGAGGCAGCGCAGTGACGTCCACACGTCCCTTCCTGCCTTTTTTCAGGCACGGATAAGGACTTCTTACTGTTTTCTCCTTAGAACAGTTGAGAATGGTAGCGCTTTCGAAAGGAAACTTTAAAAAGTTAAAGATGTAAACGAGAAAAAGATGCACAAAATAGACCTGTTAACCAAGTACAAGTTCCAAGTGAAATTATGAAAGCGCTTTTGGGAACACAGTTTCTCAATCATAAAATAACTGCAGTAGGAACAAGGATTGACTGGCCTGAGGGTCTTCGTTTCCCAGCTTGCATCTTTGGTGGATGTCATGTTCTTTCTGCCTTTTGGGAGAAGTCACCAAGGTCAGGTCAATTCTACTGGGCCCTGGGGCTCATGCATTCGGATTGGCCAAGCACTGAGCGAGGATGCAGAGAAAGTCTAACACAGCAGCTGACACAGAAGCCATCGAGTAAATAGTGGTCGAACTGGCCTTGAGCCAGTGTCCTGACGAAAGCTGCCTCTGATTTCCCCGCCCTCATCTCTGCCCCACATGCTTTTCAAACTCAGGGATTTGAACTGACTGTATGTGGAAGAGAACCAGGCTGACAGGAAGGCACAGGGTCAATGTTTCTCCCCAGATGCCAATTTCCCCAAGCAAAGGAACTGACTACCTTTGCATTTCATGAAAGCAGATACGTATTGGGTTAGAACATAAAACTGGAATTTTCAGGGTAGATTCTGAGGTTTGAAAGAAACCCATCTCTGTTGTGGTCACACATTGGGCTATGCCCTGAGCCTCTTAGGGAGGGAAATGGGTTCTCTTTGACCGTTAGAGGTGCTTTGACAATATTGGAAGGCACTTCAGCAAGCTGCCTTTATATGTAACGCTGGCTCTGTGCTGGCTCTGAGACAGGCGTGCTTGTGTATGAGAGAGTTCATGTCATTTCTGTGTCGAAGAGACATGTCCTAGTTTTGCTCTTGACTGGATTCTCTTGCACATTTATCTGTGTGGGCCAGAGGACGTTAGGTTATTGACGTCCCTACTGTAAATACATTTAATTATGTATTTACTTGGGAAGAAGCGTTTCTTTGTACATTTTACTATGTAGATTAGCTATCTTTGAAGTGAGATCAAATCATTTGAAACTCTTAATTTCCTGCCCACTTGTGCTCCATGAGCTGCCGGCACTTGGAGGACAGAGGGGGTTGCCCCAGGGCTGTGATGGGGTGCTGCTCAGAGGGAGGGGTTCAGGGGGAGTCAGCAAGCTTTGCCGGCACAATGCATTCTTCCCATAGTGATACAGCCACCGCTGGAAGATAATTTCCCACAAGAGAACATAGAAGATCTCAAAATGCAGATTCCTGAGGAGGCTGGCCATTCAGATCAACCCGTGACTAGTCACGTGGGTGTCTTAGAAGTGCCACAGAAGCCAAATACTGAGAAAGATGAACACCCAGGTAAAGCTTGCTAATTTTTCTCTACCAAGTAGAGGCAGGTCATAAAGAAGAGCTTCTGGGAAGTTTGTTATTAAAGATCGGAAACAGAGGGGAAAGTAATACAGGTATGAACACATTCTGAAAGTAAGAAATCCTAGAACCAACAGAAGCAGGAGCTAAGACACATGAGATCAATCATAGGACACAGGCCGGAGACTGTAAGTAACCCACACACCAATGACTGCTAGCATTAGCTTAGGCAAATCATTTTAAACTAAAGTGTACTTTAAAAGCCTTAGGCTCTAAAACAGTTTCAACCAGATCATCAGCAGCAGACACTTTCAGGGTGGAAACCAGCAATCAGAGTTTAATGAGCCCTCCAGGAAATTCTGATTGGTTGAAAGTTTGAGAACTGCTGCTCCAAAACTCACAAATGCAGTGTTTCACCCCCATTCCACACTCCACCTCCCCCGAAGCAGAACACAGTGTAGCTCAGTTCTTTTGTTGATATGCTACCTGGACATGGTAAAAAACACTTTTTTTAAAACAGGGAAGGGCCCCAACTGGTTTGGCTCAGTGGATAGAGCCTTTGGACTAAAAGGTCCCAGGTTCGATTCTGGTCAAGGGCATGCACCTTGGGTGCGGGCACCTCCCTGGTTGGGGGTGTGCAGGAGGCAGCTGATCAATGTTTCTCTCTCATCGATGTTTCTAGTTTTCTATCCCTCTTCCTTCCTCTCTGTAAAAATCAATTATATATATATATAAAATATATATATAAAAAAAACACAGGGACGGGGTATTTATGTCCATATATTTATGTCCATATATACTTATGTCCATATATCGTTATACTGTATGAGTTCAGGAAACAGTACAGAATGTAGCAGGGCGGGATGTCCAGTGGAGCGGACACTTGTGAGCAGTAACTGGACCACAGAGCACAGCGAACGTCTAGTGGGAGAGCAACTCACTTCATCTGAACTGAGAAAGTTGTTTTAAAACAACATTTTTGAGAGAGAGAGGAAGGGAGAGGGAGAGAGCAAAATATCGGGAATTGAGCCCACAACCCAGGCATGTGCTCTGTCTGGGAATCGAACCGGCAACCTTTAGGTGCCCAGGATTAATCCCAACCAACTGAGCCACACCAGCGAGGGCGGAGCTATGTTCCTTTATAACTGAAGGCTTTGCTGGCCCCAGTGGGAATTCTGGGATTTCCTCTCTATATAATCGTCTTTAACAGCCACAGATCCCGTCACAGTGACTACTATATAGTGGGCACTCGTAAATATTGTAAGTGAAGGGAAACAATTCTTATTCTAAAGCATACAATAAAATATTCCTTTCCCCACCTCAACTTTAGGGATATTTGTAACCGAAAGCACTCCTGACTATTTTGTTGATGGAAAAGAGCAACTAGAAATACGTGTCGAAGAGCCAGCTAGCGCCACGCCTGTCATGGTTTATTTGACTAAGACGGTAAGTTTGCCAGACGTGGTTTCTTCAAATAGAATGTTGATGATTACAGTTTTTAAGTTGATTTCAAGCATGAGGTGAGAAAGCTAAGGTGTTTTTCTGAAAATGACTCCCGATTCTTTGAAGAGGGCCTCAGGTACATGACTCTGATGGGCTCTTAGGTCAGCGCAGCACTTAGGAATTCTGTGTGCCCGAGCTGGGCATATGCACCGCTGTAAAACACGGCAAGGGGATAAAGACATCCACCTGAACACACTTCCATACAGGCCGAAAGAGAGTGTTTACCTGGTGGTGAGCACTGTGTTGAATAAATCGATTCGCTGTGGTGGGAGAAAGGTCAGAGAAGGTCAGAAGCAGGCTGAGATACGTTTGGGGCAGAGCTGAAGGGCCAGTGGGAGTTTGATGTGTAGTTTGTTGTTGAATAGAAGGACAGCAGGGCTGGGGGAGGGGCTGGGGGAGTGTGGAGGAGAGACAGGGCAGTGTGCAGTCAGAAGAAATAACATGTTCAAGCAGGTGGAGGCATAAAGAAAAGTTTATTTGGGGGAGCCAAGGAAGCTTTGTGTGTCGTTCAAATGCAGAGTCATGGTCAGGCATAAAGGAAGTTGTATATCTTGGTGTGTTAGGCTGTTAGGGATGGGGGTCGGTCCTTTTGAGTTTTTAGCAGAAAAGGGGTATGGTCAGATTTGTTTCTCAGAAAGAGTCACTTATGGTAAAATATTTATTCAGATGTATCTTCCTAAAGGAAGTCATGACCCAAATGAGATATTTAATCTATTTTACCTATGCTTTTTAGGTCATAGCTCCCCCTTGTGGTGGTGTTTGTTGAAATGGGGTGGTTTTTCTTGGCAAATTATTTGAAGCTACAGAGAAAGTATCCTCCCCTACAAAAATACTTTTCCTCCCGGTTCTGTTATTTCAAAACTTGTGTAGGAAAGAGGAGGTTTTTTTGTTCTGTAAAATGCATGGGTTTTGAGCCAGGATGATCTGGTTTCAAATCCCAGATACATCATGTAGATAACAGGGGTGGGGGACACCTAGCCCTCAGGCCGTGTAAGGTCCGAGAAATCATTTGGTCTGGCCCTGCCCACGCATTAGGGGTGAGTGAATTAAATGTTTGACCAAGTATTTCGGGCTAATTTTTAAGGTAATCATTTTGTATGGCCCACGAATGATGTTACAAATATCCAAATGGCCTTTGGTAGAAAAAGGGTTCCCCACCCCTGATTTAGAAGCGTGGGTAAATTACTAAACTTTGAATATCAGCTTCCTCGTCTTCACAAAGCAGATAATACCTACTCCGATCGTTGTCAGGACAACATGAGTTGATCACAGACAGTGTCTAGCACAGTGCCTGGCATTTTGTAGGCGTCACCCCTACCTGCTTCTCATTTGGATGACCAGGGGTCCAGTATAAAGATGTCGAATACCTAAGGAATTCAGGAGGAAGGCCACCGGATGGGAAGGCTGGAGGAAAACCAAACCGCTTTTCAGTTTCCTCCATGGTCATTGTGGTAGGTGGCAGCAGGTCCGCGTGAAGGTGTGACCTGTGAGGCAGAATAATGAAATTTCCAGCGATTAAGGGAGGCTCAGAATTCACATCTGATGATCAGAATACATCATCATCCCTTCCACAGTTTCACCGTCTCCCTATGTGGGAGGGATTCTTTATTCCCTTTACTTACAGGTATGCACAGAGCGCTGTTCTAGCCCAGGGTTGGGGGACACAGATGTGCTACAGGTTACAGTGCCTGCTTGGGGGTTGATGGGAGAAGACAGATACGAGTGGCTAGAGAAAAGGGTGCAATGTTGCAAAATAACATTGGTTTGAAAGGCACAAAGCATTTTGATGGCCCAATATATGCACCAAGTCTTGTGCTAGGAATAGAAGGTTGCAGCGGTTCTCAGCCTGTGGGTCGCGACCCCTTTGGCGGTCCAATGACCCTTTCACAGGGGTCGCCTAAGACCATCCTGCATATCAGATATTGACATGACGATTCATAACAGTAGCAACATTACAGTGATGAAGTAGCAACGAAACTAATTTTATGGTTGGGTCACAGCATGAGGAACTGTATCTAAAGGGCCAGGAGGTTGAGAACCACTGTTAGGGGGTATAAAGGGTAATTCTGGATTTCCCCGGTTGTCCCTGCTCTGTTGTTCTTCTGAATGGACTCGACACTCAACCCGGACACATGCCTCTAAAATCTGCAAGAACTGCTTCCTCTCCAGCTTCCTGTCCCGTTTCTTCCTGATCCTCTTCTTTCCATGAGTCCCGAAACCATCGAACGCGGGACCCCTGAGCCCACTGGCGCGGGCGTGATAATGGCGCGGTTCCTTAGGACGTGGTCGGATTTCTGGCTCAGTTGTCTAGTGTTGCTGCTGCTCTAATTGTCTCCCCACAGAGAGAGTCTCCTGGGAATGAGAGGAGTCGCAGCCGAAGGAGGGAAGAAGGGGAGTCTCAGTGACTTCCCCTGTCCACCTATATCCCCCGTGAGGGCAGGTGTAGGAAGTGTCAGTGCTGGCGGGGGAGGCGAAGTTCACTGCCAGCTCCCGCCCCTCGGGTCCTTTCCGAAGGGGGAGCCGGTGACCGGAGGGGCGCCCGGGCCGCACCTCGGGGAAACGTC